TGGACTCCCTGGTGCTGAGAGCAGAGAACACTGGAGGAGGAGCCCAGCATCAGGTCTGGTCCTGCCTCCAACACTGATTGACAGTGTTGTGTTGTTCATATGACTTTGAAGGTGACCCAGGACTGATATTTAAGGGTAAATTATCTTGTGTCAACACTGCCTCATGCCATAAATACATGGTGCCATTTCTCTTTCCCAGGAACTTGAACAGCAGTAAATGCTCAGGGCCTCATTGCACGGATGACACCTGGAGCCTGGACAGAGGATGACTCACCTAGAGCCATGGAGTCATGAATGACAGAACTCCTACCAGAAGCTTTGTGTGTTCTATGTGGACATTGTATGGACCAATTGACTATGTTCAATGGACTATGTTCTGGGGCCCAGGGATATTTAATTTCACATTGAGTGACCAATGGCTGGCCCAGAAATGACCCATAGGAGGGGCTCAAAATTTATTGGTGGAATAAAGGCATCAAAGCAACATATAACAGATAAGTATCCTTCAAATGAAAGTTAAGAGTATAATCAGAAAGCCTTCATTTACACCACATAGACACAGGTATTAATAAGTAATATAACTAACTAATAATTTAATTTTATCAGTGAATACTTAATGATACTCACTAGGGAAACAGTTCTGAATAAGACATGAGATCTCTTCTTAAGAGAGGGACAATTAAAAAAAAAGAAAAGAAAGAAATCAACTGTGGCAACTGCATCCACATCTTGTGGGGACCCCCAGGGGACTGTGTGCTTACTGAAGTCTCAGAAACTCTGTAGGTTACCATAGAAACTCTCACTTCCTCCTGCTTGGTCTCCAAGTCCTTCCTGGGCCACCTGGGTGTTGGGGCTTTACTATCCTGCCCTCATACACGAGCTTGATTCAGATTTAGACCCTGCAATATATGGGAAAATGTTGAAGAATAAACTTTTTATCAACCACATGTGTGGTTGGTTGAGAGTGATTTCCCAATGGGAAGTCCAGACAGAAATACGTGGTTCCTGCTCTTTCCTTGATCTCACTCAGCCCCAGTTGATCTGGAGTTTCCTACTTTCTCCACATGTTATGCTCTCTTCTCTCTTCTAGTTTCTGTTTGTTTTTCTTTCAGTCTGAAACCCTTCCTGTGACCTTGCTCTTAACCAAATTCTGAATCCTAGTCATCCTTTCATTCTGTGTCCATACCAGGTGTCTAGGAAGTGCTCTGAACACCAGAACATTCAGAAAAACAGAATTACACTCTCATATCATTTATCATCAATATCCTCACAGTTGAATGTGGGACATCCAGATTCTTTGCATGGAATGACACCCCAATCCCATCTCTGCACCTCCAATCTCACCTGTTTGATGCTGTAGTAGGACTGGAAACACAACCACAAGCAATATCTGCTACATGAAAACATTATGACTTTTGAGAAGATCATGACTTTTGTCCTTTATTCCATTAAGATGGTGCTTCCATTAACTGGTTTCCAGGTGTTAAAACGGTATTGCATTCCTGTGGTAAACACCACTTTGTCATGATGTATATTTCTTTTTCTATGTTGCTGTTTGTAGTAATCTGTAGAGGATTTTCGGGTCTATATCCATAAGGATTGTTGATCTACACTTTACTTTTGTTGTGATCTCTTTATTCGGTTTTGGTATCAGAGTAATATTGGCCTCATAGAATCAAATGGTAAGTGTATTTTCCTCTTCTATTTCTTGGAATGGCTTGTGAATAATTGGTAGTCAAGCTTCTTTAAACATTTGATGGAATTCACCAGTGAACCATTATGTGCCTGGGCCTTTCTTAGTGGGTAGTTTGTGATGCTGCCTTAAGCTCTTTCCTTGTTGCAGATTTCATCAGGTTTGATGTTTTCTCTTGAGTCAGCTTCAGTAATATGTGTCTTTCTAGAAAATTTTTCATTTCATCTAATTTTTTGGCATGCAGTTCTTCAAGGTATTCCCTTATACCTTAAAGTCTCATTATTTCTGTAATGTCAACAGCAGTGGCTCCTGACTCATTAATTTGTCTTTTTAAATTAATGATCAGGCTAGCTAAAGGTTTGTCAGTATCGTTGATGTTTTCAAAGAACCAACTTTTAGTCTGTTGATTTTCTCTAATGTTTCTATATCTTTCCTTAATTTCTACCCTATCCTTATCATTTACTTCCTTCTGCCTGCTTTTGTTTCAATTTTCTCTTCTTTTTATAGTATCTTAGGGTGAAATGTTACATTATTAATTTGAGATTATTCACATATTATATATGTAGTGCTTCTAAAGCAGTGCTAGAGATCAATATGTACCTGTGTGTATGCATATATGTCACCACCTAACGTTCAATCTTTCCTCTACACCCATGCGTACATGGAATATAGTTATATAGATTACTTTTTTATCTTTGTCTACAAATGATAACATCTTGGCATTTTAGGGCCATTTTGGAATAATTCATTTTTATAATTACTATGGTTCATGTTTTCCTTGTTCTTTGCATGAAATTTTTGATGGGATGCCAGGTACTGTGAGTTTTCCTTGTTGGGTCTTGCATACTCATATTTCTCTCTATGGTTTTGCTTTATAATTTTGGATTCAGTAAAGTTACTTGACCACAGGCGCATCCTTTCTCAATGTGCTTGTGCACTTTCTTAGGTGGCAGCAGAGTAGCCTTTAGTCTGGGACTAGTGTTCCCCACCAATGAGGCAAGTTCTCCTGACTAGTCAACCTGATGCCTTAAATAGGAGCTTCCCTATCCGACCGGGGAACAAGCACTATATGACTGTGTGAGTGTGAGCCTTGTAGAACGTTCCTCTAGTCTCTCTAGGTGGTTCTTTCCTCAACCTCCTGCAGTTTGCTCCCACACATGACTCATCAGTCCTCTTAGGAACATGTGCAGAACTCCAGGGTTCTCTCTCTGTGCAGCTCTCTCCTCTGCCACACTCTTCCCTCTGGACTTTTATTTTCTTTTTGGCTCCCTGGAAGCAGACTGGGACAGGGAAAATTGCATGCGGTAGTGATTAGGGGTGATCTCTCTGGATGGAAGCATGGAGGGAAGACTGGAGAGACCTGCCAAGTGGTTACAAATGATGATTCAGCTGGGAGTTTCTGTAAGGTCATCCTGAAACGAGTCAGGTCTTTGGGGTCTTGTCATCAGGCAGTTATTGGACCTGAGTCACACTCACAGAGAGGTCACAAGCTTGGGGGAGGCAGTTCTCTGCAGAGAATGGCTCACCTCAGTGAGGGCAGCGCTGTGAGCAGCCAGGGGCTCCCAGCAACAGTGGGTGGGTATGTCAGGACTGAAGTGGGCACCTAGGTGGACACCACAGCATCCACAGCATAGTTTGCTCCATTCAGAATCCCACCGTGCCATGTGAACCTCAGGCTTCAGAGTGCCAGCTGAATCTCAGCAGCTCTGGGGACTAACCCAGAACATGTGGACGAGGGAGTAGCCCTGAAACCCCCATATGTTAACCCATGGATAACTACTGGGATAACAGGGCAGATTTTTCCTCCATATTCCTTCCATCCAGGCCCTCTGTCTGCAGTAGATACTAGAGCCAAGAAAACACCATGACAACCTCATCCTGCAGCCAAAAATCCAGTCCTGAACTAGCCTCTGCAAAGCCTGCCTGGAGGGCTGGGAGGAGAGGGCAGCCTGGGGATCTCAGACCTGAGGACCTGGGCCAGAGCTGCTCATGGCTTTGTCTACAGTCCTCCCAGGGCGGAAGGAGAGTGTGACACAGACAGAGAAGGGGTTTGTGTCTCACTTCCCCATCAGTCTGTGTCACTGTGAGCATTACTACTGCTGTCGCTTGAGTGACAGTAATAGTCAGCCTCATCCTCTGTCCTGGCCCCGCTGATGGTCAGAGTGGCTGTGTTTCCTGAGCTGGAGCCAGAGAATCGGTCAGGGATCCCTGAGGGCCGTTCACTATCTTTATAAATCACCGTTAGTGGGGCCAGGCCTGGCTTCTGCTGGTACCAGTTAGCATAAGAGCTTCCAAAGTTGCCTCCCTGGCAGGTGATCCTTGCTGTCCCTCCTAAGGCCACAGACACCGTAGGTGGCTGAGTCAGCTCAGAAGAGGCCACAGAACCTGTAAGAGAGGAGAGGAGAGGTGAGTGTGAGGATGAGGGTCTCATTCCCAGAGGCCACACACCCTGCAGTCTCCTCTTTGCAGAGCTGAAGGTCAGGGCCAGGCTGCTCCCTGGTTTCTTTGGGGGCTGAGCCCTGAGGGTCAGCACCTGTGCAGAGAGTGAGGAGGGGGAGCAGGAGCGGGGTCCAGGCCATGGTGGAGACGCCCCAGAGCTCTGCCTCTGAGCCCATAGCTGGGGATGTGCCTCAGGCCCTCTCTTATTCTCTGAAGAAATGCAAATCTACTTCCTTTCCTTTTGTGGCCTTGTTGGGTATCTTCCAGTGGAGCAGAAAAGAACTCACCTTAAAGGAGGCTGTGAAAGTGGGTCCTGTTCCCATGGCCTGTACCTGAAGACTCAGAGCTCTCTCTGGTGCTGAGTGAGAAAGTCCAGACTCCTCCCTGCCAAGTGCACATGGAATTTCTAAAGATCCCCTGAGGTGCTGCCCTTGGTTGTGACCTCCTAGGCAGGTCAGAGGTGCTGTCCCTCAGTGTCCCCAGTGTGTGGTGTGGGCCATCGACAGATCATGTGCCCAAAAGAAATGATTGAGTGTAAGAGAATGGAATTTGGCTGTAAATTATAAGAATACCTCCTGTGAAATTTATTTTTAATTAAATTGCCTTAAGTTGTTGAGGAAAATGCATTAAGTAATGAAAATCTTTTTGTAATTGAGTCAACAAATGGTTACTGAGTATCTGTAGTGTGCCTAGAGTGGAAAAAGGGAAATCAAAAAATTTGGCACCAGTCCCCTGGAGAGAGATGGGGAAAGCAGAAGCTTCTCTTCCTGGCAGGACCACAGGCTCTCAGAGCCGAGGAAGGGATGGTGGACGTCTAATTGCAGAGGACTGGGCGTTTGTGGACAGTGACAATGTTTTAGCTCAACTGGGGTGTGTGTGGGGTATTGAAGAGCCGGGACCTGTGCGAGGGAAATAGTTTCTACAAGATCCTGAGCAGAGAGGCCTGTAGGCAGAGGAGCTTGTACATCACTGTCGGGGATGATCCTCCAGAAAAACTTACAGCTTGTCCTTCAGGTCTAAGGTCATGGTTAGACCTGCATGTTCGAATCTCCCTGTGTGTTAGAGCCCCTGATGCCCAGGCCCACCCCAACTCCAGGTGGCTGCGCCAGCTGATCTCTGCTGCCCCCTGGTGGCCGCTCCACACTGGCTGCTGGAGGCACAGCGGCATCCCTGGTCAGTTGTTGATTTAGAACCTACTGCTCAGCTCTTGATTCCCTGATTCATGAACCTCTGCCCCAGGGGAGGAATTACTCTTCACTGTGTGGCCCCTGCTTGCCTTAGACCAGGAAAGACGGGCTCAGATCACCCATGAAAATGAGGCTTTTCAACAGGCTCATTTGGAGGAGGAGATGGCAGGGCCCGCCTGATGCATCACTGCATATGTCGCTGGCGTGGTGGGTGGTCACGTGTGTGGTTCCAGGGTTTGGCACTGCGGGACACAGGACGCAGAGATGCCTCTTACTGTGTCTGGCTGCTGGTACAGGGGCAAAATAGAGTGGTGGCGGCTACTGCTCCAAAGACAGAGACAGGAGAACACCCCCCCAACAAACATTTATTCAGACCTATATTTTGTCTTCTATATTCATTTAAAAGCAGATGATTGCTTTTCTCAGGTCTCTCTCGGTCAGGGGTGACCTTGTGGCCCAACGTTGGCCTATGGATATAGGGGTCAGTTGGCTGGTGTTCCTTCCAGGGAACTTTTCCTCTTGGGAAGGAAAGGAACAGACTAGATTTAAGCAGTGCCTTTCCTCTTGAACATGGATGTGATAGCTGGAGCTGCAGCAGCCATCCTGAGGTCTTACATCAACAAGAATGAAAGCAAAGTCTCCGTGGTAGGAATGGTGGAATAGAAAGTGAGAGGGCCGGCTCCATGGCTTAGCGGTTGAGTGCGTGCGCTCTGATGCTGGCGGCCCGGGTTCGGATCCCGGGCGCGCCCCGAGGCACCACTTCTCCGTCCAACGCGAGGCCGAGTCCCACGTACAGCAACTAGAAGGATGTGAACCTACGACATACAACTATCTACTGGGGCTTTGGGGGGAAAAACATGAATAAATAAAATCTTTAAAAAAAAAAAAAAAGAAAGTGAGAAAGATTTGGGACCTCATGAAATTGGTATCTTGAGAACAACCATCTGATCCAGACTTGTTGTTGGGGAGAAAAGTAGGCTCCTGTCTGTTCACACCCCTGTTTTCCATGTGGTCTTGCATTAAAAATCATTCCTGACCAATTAGGAAAATAATTAATACAAATCAATCGTTAATAAAAATAATGATATGGAAAGAATTGTACAGTGGTAGGTGATGTGAAGGTAATTAATTGAGATCACACAAAAGTGACAGGCAGGTCCTGCATGATGAGAGCCAGGAGGAGACCTCTTGAGAGGTGCCTTTGGAGCTGCTCTCAGGATGAGAAGACGGAACACGTAATAGGAAGTGTGTTTGGGGAGAGCAGAGTCAGTGCCCTGTGGGGAGGAGTCTGGTTTGTCTGAGGATCTGAAAGAACAGTGAGAAACTAAGGTGTCTGTGATTCACAACTACTTCATCTCCAAGGTGATATTTTTTCCCAAGTTAAGAGTTCGGTGGCGGGAGTGACATGTTGTCAGGATTCTCTTTGCTGTTTCCAGTTAAGGAGAATCACAAAAGGGTTCCTGCGTGAAATCTTGTGCAAACTGACAGGGGAGCAGCAGCCGTTTTGTAGCTGATAGTCATTGTGGCTGATCTGCTGGTCACCTCGTTGACAGAAGGATGTGGCCATATTGCAATGGCTCCACCTTCCCCTGGATCTTCCTTCAGGTTCTCTGACTCCTGGGCCAGGTGTGTGTGTTCAGTATGACATCAAGTTGCTGTAACATATGCCTTAATGTTATATATTTATACACGTACACATATATAAATATACTCATGAATATGTGTGTACATGTATACTTACGTGTGTCTGCCATATGTATGTATGTCAATGTGTGTGTATATATACATATATAGTGAGATTCTTGGTTTGGCAGGAACCAGCAGTTCCATTTTATCACCCATGACAAGGAGGGTGGGGTTTCCATAATTTACAGCAGAACCAGAGGAGTAAGCAGAATCATTTGACAGAGATCATTGGTGTCAGCTAGTTGACCATGGTGTTCCTGGTAATGAAATAGATGAGCAGCCTCCCAATTTTTATTTCACCTGTATAAACAGAAAGCTCCATTTGAGAAAGACTGTTGGCTTGCTACTGAACATTAGTAGAGACTGGATGCTTGACTATGAGCCACTAAATCACTGTGTGACCTGAGCTGCCTACATGAAGAGGCATGATCTGACCAACCGTGCTCTAGATTTGGGCACACTCAGTAGCCCTCTATCATCAATTGGAAGAGATCTACATGAGATCAGGCTTCACCAGGTCCTGAAGGCACAGGTGAGTTGCATGAGGAAGTGGCCCAAATACCCATACACCCAACTCCTGCTGCATTGTCTTTTCTCTATCAACCTAAAACTCTGGCCTCCTGGGGAGACTCCTGTGACCAGCTGACATAGAGGAAAACACTCAGGGCTGCTTTACAGAGTTTTCTGTATGACCTACAGCCATCACTGACAGTTACCAGTTTACTACAGTCCCATCTGGGACATCCCTGAATGATGGTGGTAGAGGAAAGTTCTCTTAGTAAGGCAACATTGTGAGCCGAGTCCCTTCCATTCAGCCTGGACAGAGGGATGGCTAGAGGTATGGCTCTATACTAATGTTGGGCTCTGGCTAGGAACTCAGTTAGAAAATTGGTGAAAAGATGTTTGAGGAAGGGCTATGGGAATAGAACTCTCCAAATGGACACAGAAAATGCAGTTATTTGTGTCCTATCAAAATGCTTACGAAAGCGTGTCCTCAAAAGGAAATGATTTTAATAATTAGGTGCATAATATGTCTGGAGAGAACTAATAGCCAAACGTTAGTATGTGAATATTGAGGATACTGATTGGTTAAAAAAATTAAACAGACATAAGAGGCATTCTTGTGCAAATGGGAAAAAGTGACCATGGACTGGATAGAAGATTGTTGATAATTTTCTCAGTTGTCAAAAAGAACTTGCCCTTTGAAGAACAGTATGGGTCATTCTAAACCTATGGAGTGAGAAAAAGAGAGAGAGGGAGAAATATGGAGAAACAGAGGTAGATAGATGATAGATAGATTAATAGCTATCTAGCTAGCTAGATAGAAAGATGACAGATAGATGATAATTCAATGACAGATGACAGATTATAAATAGAGAGATAGAGGACAGATGGATACATGATGGATAGATAAATGATAGATGCATAGATAGAGAGATAGGTAGATAGATAGATAGATAGATAGATAGATAGATAGATAGGAGGATAGATAGTGGATAAAGATGACAAAGTGCCAAAATGTTAGCAGAGCTGTGTCCAGGAGAGTTGTATGTGGGATCTCATTACACTATTCTTTCATCTTTTTTGTATGTAGGAAAGTTTCAAAATTAAACTAATTGGATTTCTAAGGAGAGGGAGAGATTGAGATAAAAAAGTAACCCCAATGAACCTGGAACTCGAGACCTCATATCAGACATCCCCCTGGCAGGAGAGACTCACCCCAGGGATCAGAGACTCCCTCCACCTCGGGCCTGCAGCCAGGGGCAATGGAGCTGAGGGGAAGGTCCCAGGCTCGGCGTGGAGGGTTTCCTGGTGAGCTCCAAGGAAAGCAGTCCAGAGTCCAACGATCAAATCCAAACCCCACAGGGAGGTGGAGTCAACCCCAACAGGGTGAGACCTGCCTGGAGCAAATGATGGGACTTTGGGGGCAATGGGAAGGCAGTGGTGCCAGGAGAAAGTCCCCAGGTGGGATGCAAGGTGGTGTCTGCGGTTCTTCTGTAGTATCTGTGAAATCTCAGAATAGGAAAGGCCCTGGTGCTGGGAGAGTCTCGAGTCCTCTCCAGGCCTCAAGTAGCCCCTTAGGAGGTGAGAAAGACCCCATCCAAAAGTCAGAAGAGACACAGCCCCTGGGTCTCCACCGGTCTGGCTATACCCAAGGAGAAGAGGAACCCCAGCAGAGCTGTGCTGTCTGAGACAGCTCTCTCCTCTCCTGCGTGACACCTGGTTACATCTGGAGCCCACATGATATATTATGAATTCCTAAACCTTTTTTTCTCTCCTCCAAACCCTGATGG